AACTCGGAGGCCGGGGGCGAGCGGCGTGGAGCAGGAAGTGGGAGACCCCAACCCGGGCCTCGTCGCCCTCCCGGTCCCAGCCGGGTGGGCTTGGGCCCCGCCCCTGCCTCCTCCCGGGCCCCGCCAGCGCCGACCTCGGTTTTCCCTGGCGAGGAGGCCTCGCAGCTCTCGGCTCACGGCCCGGTGCCCCGGGCTAACCCCGAGGCCCGGCGCCGGGCTCGCCGGCCTCCTCCACCTCCAGCCTGGACCTGGCCGACGCCCACCAGCCTCCCCGCCGCCCTCCCATTGTTCCCGTGGCCGGAGCTCGCAGAAAACCACGCCACGCGCTCCAGCCCCGCCTCAGGTGGCAATACCTCTGGACTCTCTGGGGGCTCTCGAGGCGCTGGTCCGTGGCTCCTGGACCCCGACGCCCACCCTCCACAGGCGCTGGCACGCCCGAAGCGAAGAGCTTTTCTAAATAACCACCACAGCCCTTACCAGCGCTCCTTCGGGGAGGAGGAACTAGCCTAAGTCCAGCAAGCTCAAGAGAGCAGCAGGGAGGGGGGGCACCCATTAGGGGCCCCCATTCTGTAGGTGAAGAAACGGAGAGAATTCCTGCGCCAAAGTTCCTGGGAAGTCCAGGGCCCTCCAGAAATGTGGGGAATAAGGAGCCTGGCCTCCTTTGTTGAACAATAAATAAAGCACAGAGAGGAGGGGGGAGCGGTGTCATGCACTTTCCTGGGTTTTACTGGAAGTCAGGAGGTAAGCACAGGCTTACTAAGCTCCGAAACTCTCAACTGCTTTGTCTCACTCAGTCCTCACCGGGGTCCCATGTGGCAGCTGTGATGATCCCCACTTTCCAGATGAGAAGCTTGTCCCGGGCCTCCACCAGGCAGCGCAGAGCCCATATAAAGTCCAACCATGGCCAGCGTTGACTGCACTCCTCCCTCTGGTATAGGGACTAAGTGCCAAGTGAGCAGCCGGGCACATAAATCAAGGAGGGGCTTCTGCAAACTAAGAGAGGGCAGAACTGAGGGATCTGAAGCCCCAAAGCAGCACTGAGCGAGGCTTGGTGGGGGTTAGGGGATATAATTAATATTAAAACTAATGTATTTGGAGCACTTACTATATTTCAGGCACTGTTGTAAGAGCTTTACTTGCACTGACTCATTTAATCCCACGATAACTCTGTGGGGAAGAGGTTATTCTTATCCCCACTTCATACATCAGGAAACTCAACCATGAAGACGTTACATAGCTTGTCAAGTGGCAAAGCCAAGATCCAAACCCGGGAAGCTGATGCCCACGCCTGCACATTTAACTACTGCAGGCCAGACAGAAGCAGCCCTGAATTCGAGGCAAACATTTGAATGACTAGAACACCCACCCCAGCAGGAGTCTACTTGTTGTCTTCTGTCTCCCTGTGTGTAATCCCGCCCAGCACACAGGGCCTGGTATGCAGCCTAGGGTTAAACTACAGCATGACGGCCACATGAGGCTGGAGTGACATGAGCAGGGTTCGGTTGCAGCCCTCCCTGCTCTGCTGAGCACTGTATCAGTGGTTTTAGGGGAAGGCATGAAACACTCATCAAACCTACAGCTGTCATGAAGTTGGGATGGACAGCAAACCCTCCGGAAACCAAAATTCATTTCCAAAAGATCTCAGCAGCCTTGGGGTTGAGCTGGAACTAACAAGATAAAGTGCTACACCGAATAAATGTAAACTCCCACCCTTTGGTCCAAGCCACAGCAGTCCGGGAGAACTTTCTGTGATGCTGGAAAGTGTCCTGAATCTGCGTTAGCTAATCTAGTAGCCACAAGCCACCTGTGGCTGTTGAGCACTTGGAATGTGGCTAGTATAACTGAGAAGCTAAAATTATAATCTATTTCATTTTAAGGACTTTAAATGTTAATTGCTACATGGGGGCTCGTACCTGCCATGTTGGACAATGCAGGTCTAAATGATCAAGTGGCCAAAATAAATGCACAGAATCTAGATTAAGAGCAGTTTCAGGGAAAATAACAAAGGTTTGAGTTAACCTCAAGCTCAACAATGCAATGTGGCTTGGGGAAAAAAAAAGAAGAAGCAAGGGAGGGAGGGAAAGAGGAAAGGAAAAAAAGGAAGGAAGGGGAAAAAAGTGAACATGATATGCTGTATCAACAGAAAACAGGGGTTAGACCTCTACAGTTAGCCTCACTAGAGCCTCTGTGCTGCCCTGGGCTGATACAGCTGGACCACAGGCTTCAGCTCTGGGCTCCACATTCCGAGGGGCACACTGTTGCACTGGAGAGAGCCTAGAGTCCAGAATGCTGAGGACCCAGATGCCATGTTGTGGTGAATGATGTAAACGGCTTGAAGAAGGGAAAGCTCAAGGAGTTTACATTTATTCGGTGTAGCACTTTATCTTGTTAGTTCCAGCTCAACCCCAAGGCTGCTGAGATCTTTTGGAAATGAATTTTGGTTTCCGGAGGGATTGCTGTCCATCCCAACTTCATGACAGCTGTAGGTTTGATGAGTGTTTCATGCCTTCCTCTAAAACCACTGATAACAGTGCTCAGCAGAGCAGGGAGGGCTGCAACCGAGCCCTGCACATGTCACTCCAGCCTCATGTGGCCGTCATGCCACAGTTTAACCCTAGGCTGCATACCAGGCCCTGTGTGTAAGTGGCAAAGCCAAGATCCAAACCCAGGAAGCTGATGCCCAAGCCTGCACATTTAACTACTGCAGGCCAGACAGAAGCAGCCCTGAATTCGAGGCAAACATTTGAATGACTAGAACACCCACCACAGCAGGAGTCTACTTGTTGTCTTCTGTCTCCCTGTGTGTAATCCCACCCAGCACACAAGGCCTATACACTATACACAGGGAGACAGAAGACAAGTAGAGCTTGTGTGTCTCCAAAAATCTGAAGGGCTATCATACAGAAGGAGATGTGATTTGTTATTATTTAGGTCTAATAAAACAAAAAAATCTGCAACTCCCTAAGCTATGCTCTGTTTTACTCAGCACATAGTCCACCCAGGACCTGGCCCATAATTAATATTGACTACAAATTTCTAGTCAATATTTTGCTAGCTCAAAAATGGATGTGAAAGAATTCCACTCAGCTCCAGTGGGTGGACATCCAGAAGGATAATAAAGAACTCTAGCCCTGGCCAGTGTGGCTTAGTTGGTTGAGCACCATCCCATGCACCAAAAGGTCCCTGGTTCAATTCCTGGTCAGGGCACATGCCCAGGTTGTAGGTTTGGTCCTTGGTCAGGAGGCAACCAATCAGTGTTTCTTTCTCTCTCTCAAATCAATAAGAAGAGGGAAAGAGAAAGAAAGAAAAGAAAGAAAGAAAGAAAGAAGAAAGAAAGAAAGAAAGAAAGAAAGAAAGAAAGAAAGAAAGAAAGAAGAAAGAAAGAAAGAAAGAAAGAAAGAAAGAAAGGAAGGAAGGAAGGAAGGAAGGAAGGGAGGAAGGGAGGGAGAAAGGAAGAACTCTAACAGTCAAAGCTGTCCTGGAATGGAATGGTCCACCTTGGGAGTGATGAGTTCCCTGCCAATAGATGTATTTAAAGAAATATTGGTCTCATTTGGAGGCCCTACCAGGAACCAGATGACCTTTTGAGTTGAAAAACTGGCAAGTTCTATTAGGAGGGGAAACACAAGATTAAGGCTGTGCTTCCAGACAATTATCTGGCTATGTGTATAGAACAAACTGATGTAGAGGGAGCAGAGGCAGGATGGACCAGTTAGGGACCACTGCAGTGGTCCAGCAGATAAAAGGCTAGGTGGCAGCGGGAATAGAAAACCAAGGACAGGAATGTGACAACAGGAGCACTGCATCTGGACTGGGAGTCAGGAGCTACAAGTTCCAGCCCTGCTTCTGCCATTAGCTTATTGTATGGTTTCAGATAAATCCCTTCCTTTTTGCAGATTTCAGTTTCCCCATCTGTGAAATGCAAAATAATCTCCAAGTCTCTTCTAACTCTGGATTCTGCTTATGGGGGAGAAATTATGAAGGATAACTGGGATAATGCACTAGACAGACTTTAATAGCTTCAAAGTAATAATATCATTGGTTCCATTACTATTATTATTATCACCAAGGCCACCTCCTTTGGACTTGGTGACTAGATTGGCAGGAGGGGACAAGAGGAGTCAATGGACTGCATCTGTAGGGGTGGGAATAGGGGCCAAGGACCTCTGATTTTTTGGGAGGGTCAGCTAGCCTTTCCACCCCTCCTCCAAGTTCTGTGAGGACAAAGTGTTCTGTGTGCTGTCACCTCGTGAACTGCTTCCTCATTCCTCTGAACCACACCCCATACTTGACTAAAGGAAGCAACCAGTTCTAGGAAAGTTAGACTCTTTCTTCCCTCCTTTTAATGTTCACAAATGACAACTGGTGTTGCCCTTTCCTTAAATAATAAGTACCATCGTCTCATATGAAAATAGCCAATATTATTGAGCACTATATGCTAAGCACTTTACTTACATACTTTTCTCACCCCGGGAAGTAGCTATAATTATAATCCCGTTTTCTAGACTAGGACACTGGCTCATGGAGATGCACAATTTTCCCACAGTCACAAAGCTTATGAGGGGGCTTCCAATACAAATCTATGTGCTTTCAAAGCTGCATTCCCCAAGGCTTCCAGCATTTTACTAGGTATTTTTGCAATAACTTAGGGAGGAGGGCAAGACTGGTATGGTATCCAATTTATAGCTGGGAAACTAAAGCTCAGAAAGGATAAAACAAATCACTTGGACACATTAGTAAAGTCTTCCAATGTGCAGTCCAACGCTGTTTCCGGTTCTCTGCTGCTCTCCTAAGTCCCAGCGGTGCTTTCCTCCTTCTCCTGCACCGGCCAGGGCCTCCCCAGTCCCAGTCTAACGCCCAGCC